TGTACTAGTAAAAGGCATAACATCAGTAATAGTGAACATTGTGTTTGTTGAAGTTTGTGTTGGGCTCAATCCATTGACTGATACACCATTAGTATTTATACATGTTAAATTATAACCAACTGGTACTCCATTTTGATCTATTAGCGTTGGTCCAGTCCAGATAAGTGTGACATTACTTGGTAAGAATGTTATATTGGTACAATCCATTGGAGGAGCCACTGGCACTGTGCAGAATAAGGAAGATAAAAATTAAGAAATTCATAAAAATAAAGAGACAAAGAAAAAAGAATAAAAAATTAATAAAAAAAAACAAAACAAAGAGCATATACACATGCATGCATGAATTCCTCTTACATGTTGGAAGTGTTCTGAAGCTCATCTCTACAGTACTAGTGGTACCAAGACAATTGGTAGAATCAACTGTATATGCATAAGTGTTATCTTCCTCAAGACCATTTAACATGATTGTAAATTCTTGGTTAATTGCAGTGATGTCATCAGGGCTCATTCTTATGATAGAAGTTGCTTCTGTTGTTTGTAAGATTGCTCCAGTATACTTAACACTGTAGGTTTCAGGTGTATAGGTAATGTTAGGTATTATGAATGATATAGCAGCAGTAGTTGTTCCTGGAGTAGCTGTTACATTAATAGCAGGAACAGGTAGGGCCGGGGCTATAAATTAAACAAGGGATTGAGGTAGGAGAGAAAGAGGATATGCTTTATAAATGTAACATGCACTTACATCTTATAGTCACAGTGCTTTCCTCACTAGTAGTGATACCAGTTGAATCAGGTATAGTAATACTAGCAGTACATCTATAAGTACCAGAATCAGAAGGCCTACTGGCATTAAAACTCAATGTATTAGTAACAGTGGTAGTCATAGTATCCTCTCCAGTAGTAGTCACAGTACCAGTTTCTATTGTACCATTATGTGTCCATGCTATTACCAGGTTTGGTTTTACTATGGTTGGTTTAGTGGCTGTACAGGTAAGAGTGAAGTTATCATATGGGTCTGAATCAGGACATGATGTCTCCAGACTAAGAAATGAGTCAGGGGAAGCAGAAAAACTTCCAATAATTGGATCTATAAAATAAATAAAATTAAATTGACAGCAGTAGGTCTTCATATCTAGCTACTTTTATATTTTGAAGCTTACCAGTAACAGTTAAGTTAACACTCATGTAATTAGTATCAGAAGTCATAACATGTTCATAAGCAGCTGGAGCTGGTACTATAGTAACAATACATGTATATGTTCCTGAATCCTCAATACTGCTCAATGTAGTGAAATTAAGTATTGACCTATACTCATTAAAACTTGATCCCATCATAACGGAGCTGATATTAACACGATCTGTACCAGAAAGCATTAATGAATTAGCATTTATTGTAAGTACTATATTATCCTTACTCATGATCTGTTGATCAGTTATGTTCCAGGTTACATCAACAGTGAATGGTGTGTCAACATTAGGATCAACACTGATATCACATGTTAGTATCAGGTTACTGCCAGCTAAGAAATAATCCTCTCTTGATAGACTCACATCAACAGATGGATTGGGAACTAATTAAAGATACATTTTGAAATTAAGAAAATAAATTATAGGCTTCAATACATTAAAGGGAGCTTTAAATACAATACAATAGCGTAATATGCATCAATCACTGCATTGTATGAAGTAAAAAATAACAAGTACACAATTGCATTAAAAAGAATGAAATAAAATCCTTAGTGTATGGTATTTGATCAATTCATAATACAATATACACTGGTCTCATAATGTGCTTACTGTCTAATGGTAAATCTGAAGTGTGATTACTTGCTACCATGGATATCTGACTAACATTAATGGAGGCTTCACAAGTATACAGACCAGCATCAGAAGTATTGAGAGAAGAAAATCTCAAATAAAGAGAACTCATTACATTAGATAGAGTCATAAGAACTGGAGGTACACTAATAACATTGTTAGCTGATCTCTTAGTCCATGTTATCACTGGTGAGACTATGAGTCTATCAACAACTGTCACTGTACAATTTAACATGTATTCTTCACCAGGTTCAGCAATACCCATAGTTACTAGATTTATCTCTACTACTGGACTTGGAGTAGCTGTAATGAGAGGAGGGAAAGAGTGAAGATAATGGAGGAAGATAAAACAAGGAGAGAGAGAGAGAGAGAGAGGAATTGGAGGAAGGAATTTAAAAAACTCAAAACCTACAAAGGCAATTTGCTACATTCATACATTCACAGAAATGTGATTTGGATCCCTACATTCTGGTAAGGCGAAAAAGACAATCAAAACTGTATATATTAGTTCAAGAATCAATGCCTTATCAGATTGTCTATGCACAATACATTCAAACTCACAGCCCAAAAGGTATAATAAGTACTGGCCTACTATGCACCAAAACAGCATGTAATGTCATGTACTTACCATAAACTGTAAGAGAAATATTAGCACTAGCTGATGTATTTGTAAAAAACATGTAACTATTAGGAGCAGTCACTTCAATGTTACAAGTATACACTCCACTATCATCAGCATTATCCAATGGATAGAACATTAATGTTGCATTATAATGTAATGTATTGATCATA